TCTCCAGTGAAGCCATCAGGGCCAGGACTTTTTCATGTGGGAAGTTTTTTTTTTTTTTTTTTTAATGACCTGTTCAATTTCTTCCTTTGTTATGTGTCTGTTCAAGTATTCTATCTGAGTGAGATAGTTTTTAGATAGGTCTTGTGATTCCAGAAACTTGTCCATTTCTTCTAGGTTCTCAACTCTGTTGGAGTACAGTTCCTCATAACATTGTCAGTATCTTTTTTATTTCAATTGGTTCTGTTGTGATGACACCCTTTTAGTTTACTATTCTTATAATTTGCATCTTCCCTTTATTTTCTTTTGTTAGATTTGCCAGTGGTTTGTCAATTTTGTTAATCTTTTCAAAGAACCAGCTCCTTGTTTTGTTGATTTTCTTTATTGTTTTTGTTTGTTTGTTTGTTTGATCTTATTTATTTCTGCTCTGATCTTTAGTATTTCCTTACTTCCAGATACTGTAGAATTTTTTTGTTGTTCTTTTTCTAATTGTTGGTGTTGTTGAGTTAGAGTGTTGAGTTTGTTTCTTTCCTCTTTTTTGATGTATGCATTTATTGCTATAAACTGCCCTCTGAATACTGCTTTTGCTGTGTCCCATAGGTTTTGGTAAGATGTATCTTCATTCTTGTTTGTTTCTAGGAAATTTTTATTTCTTCTATTATCCAGTAGTTTCTGAACAGTGTATTGTTCAACTTCCACGTCTGATGTTTTTTCCTTGATCTTCCTATTATTAATTTCTAATTTTATAGTATTGTGATCCAAGAAGATGCTTTGTAGTGTTTCAGTGTTTTTGTTTGTTTGTTTGTTTGTTTGTTTGTTTGTTTTAATTTATTGAGGCTTGTTTTATGTCCTAACATGTGATCTATTCTGGAGAATGATCTATGTGCACTGGAGAAGAATACGAATTGTGCTTTTGTTGGAGGGAGTACTCTGTATATATCTATGAGATCAAGTTGGTAGATTGTGTTGTTGAGTTCTTCTGAATCTTTATTGAGTTTTTTTCTAGTTGATCTGTCCCTCCTTGAAAGTGCTGTGTTAAAGTCTCCTACTGCTCTTGTAGAGTTGCCTATTCTCTCTTTCAATTCAATTAATATTTGCTTCATGTATTTTGGAGTACTTTCATTGGGTGCATAGAAATTTTTATTGCAATGTCTTCTTGGTTAATTGACCCTTTCAGCATCATATAGTGACCTTCTTTGTCTCTTATGTTGTTTTTCACCTTAAAGTCTATTTTATCAGAATTTAATATTGCCACTCCTGTTCTTTTTTGGTTACTATTGGTTTGGTATATTTTTTTCCACCCCTTAATTCCTAATTTGTTTTTATCTTTGTGTGTAAAGAAGGTGTCTTGTAGGCAGCATATCGATGGGTCTTCTTTTCTTAACCAGTCTGCCACTCTCTTTCTCTTGATTGATGCATTTAGTCCATTCACATTGAGTGTAATTAGAATCAATATGAATTGATTGTTTGTTTGTTTGTTTTGTCATGTTGTTGGAGTTTCCTTGGTCCTATACTTTTCTGTGCTGAGTTCATTTTTGTGTCAAGTGTTTCTTCTCCTTTCTTTTGGATTGTTGCTTTTGTGCTTACTAAACCCATATGTTTTCCTTCCTTCTGGGTTTACTTAGCGGTATTGCTAATTTTCCCTGTGGTTAACTTCGAGTGAATTCTTGTCTCTATATTTTTGGTACAGTCTGTTCTATGAGGATATTGTCCTGTTTTCCTCTCCATTTGGAAGTTTTGTACCTAGAACTTTTATTCCCTCTATTTGGTTAGTTGCTATTTTCATGTGCAGATTTACTTCCTTGTTTAGTATACAGTATTTTATGGTCTGATTTTGAGCTTCTATTTCTGATTTGGTTTTAGTGTTGATGTCATGTATTCTGATTTTGTTGTTCTCTGTTGTGGGTTCTCTATCAGAAGGACTCCCTTAAGCATTTCTTGTAAGGTTGGTCTGGTTTATACAAAATCCTTTTATTTCTGTTTGTTTGAGAATGTCTTGATTTCACTCTAATATTTGATGGACATTTTGGCTGGATATAGGATTCCTGGTTTGAAGTTCTTTTCCTTCAGTGTGTTATATATGCCATTCCATTGCCTTCTTGTGCATGGTTTCTGTTGAGTAATCAGAACTCAGCCTAACTGTTTGATTATTATAAGTGTTATTTCTTTTTTTCCCAGGCTGCTTGCAAGATTCTTTCTTTGTCTTTGGTTTTGGAGAGTTTGATTATGATAATATGCCTTGGTGATTTCTCTTGGGATCTACCCTATATGGGGTTCTTTGAGCTTTTTGGACAAATATCTTTTCTTCCTTCATGATATGGGGAAAATTTTCAGAGGTTTTTTTTTTGGTTTTTTTTTTTTTTTTTTGCCTCTTCTTGTTCTGGAATTCCACTGAGGCATATGTTGTTTCTTTTCATGTTGTCCCATATAACACTTAGGTTCTCTTCATTTTTTTTATATCTTTGTTCTGATTTTTCTTCATACTGGCTGGTCTCAAGAGATTTATCTTCTAGTTGAAAAATGTCTTCTTTAGACAGTTCTAACCTATTCTTTTGTGCATCTACTGTGTTGTATAATTCTGTAATTTGGGTATTCATCTTCTAGATTTCTAACTGCTAGTTTTGTATGAGTTCTGATTGTGTATTAGTCTTGTTATTTTGTTCTTGAATGGTTTTCCTGAATTCTTCCAGGAGCCGTCTGTGTTCTCCTTGATTCTGTTTGGGGTTTCCTTAAGTTCTTAGAGTTCTATAAACATACCTTCTTAATTGTTTCTTGGATAATTCTATTGCCTCCTCTTCTTCCTTGTTCAATGAGACTTATGTTTGGGATTTTATTTCTGTTGTTTTATCCTGTTCTTTTTGTTTGTTTGTTTGATTTGAGGTTGCCTGTTGATTCCTAGACATGTTGAAATTGTCTTTAACTGTTAGTTATGTATTGATTTATTTTGTCATGATTTTATGATTTAATATTTTTCCAAAGGTAGAGCTGGTGTATTTTATTTTTTTGGTTATTAATTCAGGTGTGCTGGGTTGCTCTACAGTTTTCTTTGTGATGATGGAATCACTGTGTGAAATGTGGTTTCAGATCTCTGTTTCTTGTGAAGGGGATTTAGGGTTGGAACAAGCAGGTGTTGTGGTGGCTTAATGTGATTTTTCTATTGGATGAGGAAGGGGAGAAGCAGGGAAAGGAGGAAGAAAAGAGAGAGAGAGGGAAAAA